GTGGTGTTAGGGAGGTGCTGGGGGAGGTGGTGCACGGCGGCCTTCCTGCTGGGGAGTGGGGGGTGTTACACCCCTCTCTGTTGGCATTACTGCTAACAAGGACGTTATTGTGCTTAGCTGGTAACACTGACTAGCACGGCTTATGATAGTACTGAGCTAGTGAAGCTGATTCCTGAGCTGAGGTGGTAACACTGCAGGGAGCGGTTATTGTTGTGTTAAGGTGGTGATACTGATGACTGGTAGACTGGGGTGGCAGCAGGTGACTGGGGTGCCAGCAGGGTGACTGGGAGGCAGTATGATGCCAACAGGATGCCAGCAGGGTGGCAGCAGGGTGCCAGCAGGGTGCCAGCAGGGTGGCAGCAGGGTGCCAGCAGGGTGGCAGCAGGGTGGCAGCAGGGTGGCAGCAGGGTGGCAGCAGGGTGGCAGCAGGGTGCCAGCAGGGTGACAACATGATGCCAGCAGGGTGGCAGCAGGGTGGCAGCAGGGTGCCAGCAGGGTGGCAGCAGGGTGCCAGCAGGGTGGCAGCAGGGTGGCAGCAGGGTGGCAGCAGGGTGCCAGCAGGGTGGCAGCAGGGTGGCAGCAGGGTGGCAGCAGGGTGGCAGCAGGGTGGCAGCAGGGTGCCAGCAGGGTGGCAGCAGGGTGCCAGCAGGGTGGCAGCAGGGTGGCAGCAGGGTGGCAGCAGGGTGGCAGCAGGGTGGCAGCAGGGTGGCAGCAGGGTGGCAGCAGGGTGGCAGCAGGGTGCCAGCAGGGTGACAACATGATGCCAGCAGGGTGGCAGCAGGGTGGCAGCAGGGTGCCAGCAGGGTGGCAGCAGGGTGCCAGCAGGGTGGCAGCAGGGTGGCAGCAGGGTGGCAGCAGGGTGCCAGCAGGGTGGCAGCAGGGTGGCAGCAGGGTGCCAGCAGGGTGGCAGCAGGGTGGCAGCAGGGTGCCAGCAGGGTGGCAGCAGGGTGCCAGCAGGGTGGCAGCAGGGTGGCAGCAGGGTGGCAGCAGGGTGGCAGCAGGGTGCCAGCAGGGTGGCAGCAGGGTGGCAGCAGGGTGCCAGCAGGGTGGCAGCAGGGTGCCAGCAGGGTGGCAGCAGGGTGGCAGCAGGGTGCCAGCAGGGTGGCAGCAGGGTGCCAGCAGGGTGGCAGCAGGGTGGCAGCAGGGTGGCAGCAGGCCTGGTAACAGGAAGTGGTGTACCAGACGAGGCGTCGCTGGTAGTGGGGGACATTACTCCACCTGGCAAGGACGTCTTGCTTATTACTATCTCTCTCTCTCTCACTGTGGCACACTGACGCTAACCACAACACTGACGTCTGTCTGGCGCAGTATTACCACCAGTGTTGTGGTAATACTGCGTCAGTATTACCACCAGTGTTGTGGTAATACTGCGCCAGTATTAATACTGTGTCTGCTGCAACGTGGAAGATACTGGAGGGCCAGATCCCACATTTCTACAGTCAAATAAGAACATAAAATGGAGGGGACGGTACGGAAGGAAGTGCAGAATAGGATCAATGAAGAGTAGAGGTACCAGGGGGTTCCAGAGGTACCACGGGGTTCCAGGGGCTCCAGAGGTACCAAGGGCTCCAGAGCTCCACCAGCCAAGCACTGAGGGCGGCGGATCTTCGGAATCCCACCAACAAACATAAGAAATATTGCTGGAACCAAAGTGTGTGTGGGTTTGGCTTGGGACAGCACCACTCCTCCCACAACCCACTCCTGCAGGGACAACATTCCCAACATGCTGCCCACATTGCTAGCCAACATTGCTAGCCAACATTGCACATGTTGCGCCTCCCCCCCCCCCCCCCGCCCCACTCCCTCCCTGGTCAAGCTGGGTTACCAACGTTGATACGACAATGACTCAGCGCAGATAACGCTTATCTTGCGTTAATTAAACATTACTGGGACGTGTTGCGCGGCCTTGCTCACGCTGCATAACTTTCTCACCATGTTATACACCCCCCCTCATCCGCATGATTAGATAGTACTATTTGTAACTATGTGCACCATAGTACACACTCTGACGTACTAAGCAGTTTGATAGAATTTTGTGCTATTCACTTATAAGAGTCCGATAAAATGAAACTAAAAAATGAATGTTGCTAGGCCTATTATAGCACACATATGTACTATATTAGGCCTCGGATAGCGTGTAATAGGCCTAGGAAGGTTAGATGAGGTTAGTTTAGTTTGTCTTTGCAACATATATGTACAATATTTTCCGATCTATCCAAATTCAATATGTCCGATTTCTACTTTCTAATTGCCGTGAAGGTCGGTATATGTACTATGGTCCTCACCGTCACTATATGTACTACCACAACAGGAGGATGGTCTGGGGTAAACACTTAGCACAGTGGTAAGATAATAGTCCACTGTAATGGTTCTCCTGAAACCCTGGCTGTAAACCAACTAGCGGGTCGTGTTCCAAGGAAACTAGTTTAAGGTTTACCATAGGAAGGGAACGTCTCTTGAAGGGCACTTGTAATTCCCTGCTGAAGGGGGGGGGGGAATAAGAAGTCCCCTACCCACTCCACCCACGCTCCCCCCCCCCACGCTCCCCCCCACCCACGAGACATGGGAGGGTGGGTACCAAAGCACTGTTTATATATTTATTCATTTCTTTATTATGCACCACATACCCATCCTGTGGGGGGGAAGGGTTACAGAGGCACATAATGGGGTCAGGAACTGAACCCATAGTTCGTTTAGCTAAGCAAGTGACGGTCTTGTCAAGCTAGTTACACAATTGTTAGTATTACATACACATGTACACACACCCACAAGCACAAATAGTGCTTGCTTGCTATATATAGAGAGACACCCGCAAGCACAAATAGTTGAGAGGCGGGACCAAAGATCCAGAGCTCAACCCCCGGAAACACAACTAGGTGAGTACAAATAGGTGAGTACACATGTGTCGCACAAATTAATTTTTTTACTAGTATCATTCAAGTTCATCAGATATACGACTGACAGTATAAATCTTTCTTGGGGCTTGTTAATACTTAAACCTTGTTAACTTGGAGATTTTGGCTCCGTTCTCTTAAGTGTTTGCACAACCTCAGTCCCTGCTGGCCCAAGCTGAGGCCCTCACAACTCTGTCTGTGCTCGAGATCAACCCCCCTAACACAACCCACTGTACAGTCTTGTATATATAAATGATAATAATGTGTTCTTTGAGTACAGGAAGTGCGGGAAGCACTTTTTTTTAAGTTAAATAATGACCAGCACTTGTGGGCGGTCCGTCCTCATCTAAATTGGTCAGATGCTTCATAATGCAACTGCTTGTTTAGGAATGAAGAACCTTTACATACCACTAACGACAGATGTTCAAACTTTTTGTTAACGGTCCTTCCTGTCCTTCCTGTAATCACGTGACACATTTTGTTTTAAATTCATCAAATATAAATATTTACCAACCGAACAAAACCAAAAACCTAGGCTATCCTTGGCCTAAACTATACATACAATTTTAATACTTTAAAATAAAATTAATTTCTTTCAGAGAGAATTTAATGTTTAGTTACACCGTATAGAACAGAATGACGAATGATATATCATTCGTATATCAGTCGGGTGAGTATAGCCTGAGAATGGTGGGTGAATAATTTTGTTTTATATACACAGGTGGGTACAGGAACAGACGACTGGCGACTCTCTCCTAATAGGAAGGGAAATGGAGCTTTCCCTTGCCATAGCTGGTGGAAAGCCTTTCCCACGAGTTCTTGATTCATACAGAGTAGCATCTCGCTGGTGGGAATCGTGTGAACTTTCTCGCGTTTTTTTCACGTGTGTGAAATACTATTCACTTCCATCAACATTTTTGGAGAATGTGGAGCATAACACAGGGTTGATGATTTATGGAACCACTTACCAGGTGACACAATAGACGTGGGGGATACCTAATTGTTTCAAGTGTAGGTTAGACATATATATATATATATATATATATATATGAATGAATTTGGGTGGATATAAATAGGAGCTGCCTCTTATGATCGAATAGGACTTTTGTATTTTCATTTATTCCGATGTTCTTAGGTAATATAATTCTTGTTACTGAATAAGAGATGTGGTGGCAAGACTCACCCACGTCCCAGTTCCACATGAGGCTGCAGCTTCAACTTTGAACCCATATAAAACTTGTTCCAGGCGTCTTAATACACGCGCCACACTCCACGAGGGAGGAAGTGGAATAAATACAACAATTATCAACAACAACTCTAACTTCACACATAAAAATCCTTGAAAGAGTGCTAAGAAGCTCACAAAAGACATGGACTCACAGCGTCTGCATAACCCTGGACAACACGGGTTCAGAACACAGCGCTCCTGCCTCTCACAGCTTTTTATTATTATTATTATTATTTTCTACCACAGACGTAGCCACACATTTACAATGCTAACCAGCATATACACATTTTCTTCTGTCCTCCATGGACAGGGTGAGGGATTTGTCAAACATATAGTTCAGGGATTTATTGAACAACCACAGGTGATTGTAGTGCTTTTAAAATGTTAGGCTAAGCTACATACGTAAATACATAGATACAGCTGCAGATACAGCTGCTGGACCACTATGACGTGGTCTTACCTGCCGGGGAAGACAAGCAAATCGTTGTTGTATTATACACACATTTCGCGAAATCTTTCGACAGAAGTAACCATGATGTTATTGCTCACAAAATGCGTGCAACAGCAGTTACCGGCAAAGTAGGAAGAGGAATCTTTAATTTTCTTTTTTTTACGCCGTTCACTTTGTGCATTTTTGTTCTCGTATTGGCATCCTTAGTGATATTTAGCGCCTTTTGAATATCCCGCACGTATGACGGTGCTTCATAGCCTTCCCGGCGTGGTGCCTTCTTTTGATAATTACTTCAATTTCCAAACGAACAAAAGCCATTATTTATTTACCAGAACCTTAATATGTTAATACAGTATTAATAGAGAGGTCAAGTGGTGGTGGTGTTAAGGGTTGACGGGGAATTAATGCTGCTTGTCTTTAACTTCAGGTAGAGCGTGATGGGCGGGGAGCAGAGCCGGGACGCGGGCGGCGGGGTGGGCGGAGGTGGGCGGGTGGAGGTGTCGGAGAGGCAGGCACCAGACTCTAACCGCCCCACCTCCACCTCCCCGCGACCTTCCATCTGCTCCGACGGCGACCTCCCCTATATCTCCTACACCGTCAACAGACCCATAGGCGGTGAGTACCGGCGCCCCTTCACCAGTGCGAAGTGCGCTCTTCGCCACACTCCACCATAACTTGTACGGTTCTCATGTCCTCCCACGGAGTTACAACCCCGCTCCTGTGCCAGGTAAGTCAGTCCACTACGGGCTCACCATAGCCCGTGCTACTTGGAACGTTTTGTTCCCAGTAGCGGAATCTAAAACAACAACAGCTCTCACTCTCCTTAATTTATCCAGATAATTGATCACTGTCGTGTTTTTCACCAAAGTAATGCTGACTCTCCTGCCTTCCTCACAAAGAATTCCTACTGACCTCACTTGCCAAAGATTATTTTGACTGTTGCCTCCGGAGGCGACTAGTTTATTGTGCACCCCATACTCATCCTGTGAGCCGTAGCGCAAAAAAGGATTACAGAGGGGCACAAAAGGTTTTTATCAGACCTCAACGGACAGTTTTACATTAACAATTATATCTCACCTGCACACCTTATAAATATGATGTCTGCAAGTAACAAACTTGTTTGACCTGCAACATCTATGTATTCACTGTTTTAGTATACATAGGATGTATGTTATTTGTTAATACAAAACTAAATTTAAATATTGGATATTACAGGATAATAGCAGGATTTATTTACTAGAAGGGAAATAGGGATACAGTGCAAAGATTTCCCATATTTTATTTGTAATAAGATGGTTTGCCATTTCGTTCAGCATAAGTTTGGATTGATCTCTAAATGGCTACATTGTTTACAGTGTAAGATATAATGCTCTAGTGTGTGTGTGTCTGTCATTGTACACAAACTTTACACTTTACTACATCTACATCCCTGTATAAGCCCAAGTGCTTATACAGGGATGTGTATAAGTACTTGGGCTTGTACACTTATACACTTGGGCTTATAAGCCCAAGTCGTATTAGAGCTGTGAAGACTAGTAAACTAACAGACGTTTAGTTTACTAGTTTCCCCCCATATAAGTGTTTCTTAAATACATTTCATGGTGACGAACACTGAATTGCCAAGTTCCTGCTCGCAGTTTTCTACTTCAAATTCATCTAAAAAAAAAAATCCCAAATGGCCTGACTTGCCAACGAATTCCCAAATGTCTTGGCTTTTTCCCAAGAAGTGAGATCCTCGAGTCGTCTGAAGCCTACCTAACTGTGGTACAAAGGCTGGGCACATGTGGTGTCCTCATTACGGGCTATTCATGCCCGTGCCACCTCTTGCGTGGCTTAATGTTCATCAATCAATGAGTGTCGTGCGAGACACGTGTCCACGACGCCACAAGCCCCCCCCCCCCGACCCACCTGCTCCGATAAAGTATGAGTAGGAAGCAGTATGGTCTAGTCCTGAACATGCTTCATGAAAAGGGGTGGTACACTTTTGAGTCACAGTAACGTGGCTGAAGTATGTTGACCAGACCACACACTAGAAGGTGAAGGGACGACGACGTTTCGGTCCGTCCTGGACCATTCTCAAGTCGATTGTGAATATATTTCCCGTGACATAAGCTTGAATGTTTGCACTATATAATATATATATATATATATATATATATATATATATATATATATATATATATATATATATATATTAGTATATTTTGGTAGCAGTCTTTCCTGTAGACATATATTATTAAATATGACCGAAAAAGTAAGATTAATAATTCTAATACGAATTTTCTCAATATTTCTTATATTTCTTTTCACTGTTGATGGTAACTGAAAAATCAATTCTCCAAAATAAAAATGAATTTTGGAGAATTGATTTTTCAGTTACCATCAACAGTGAAAAGAAATATAAGAAATAATGAGAAAATGCGTGTTAGAATTATTAATCTTACTTTTTCGGTCATATTTATATATATATATATATATATATATATATATATATATAGCGAACAAGCCTGAATGGTCCCCAGGACTATATGCAACTGAAAACTCACACCCCAGAAGTGACTCGAACCCATACTGCCAGGAGCACACTGCTGGTGTACAGGATCCCTCAACCGCTCGACCAACACGACCGGTCAAAAGAGGATGGTAGCCTAGGCTATTTCCATCCCCCGCCGGCACTCGGTTGGTAATCTTGGGCATGGTATTTTATCAAATCACCTCATTCTTTGGGACACACGTGAGGGACACAAGTGCGAATAAGCCTGAATGGTCCCCAGGACTATATGCACGTTCACAGTCACTATATAAACGTTCACAGTCACTATATAAACGTTCACAGTCACTATATAAACGTTCACGTTCACAGTCACTATATAAACGTTCACGTTCACAGTCACTATATAAACGTCCACGTTCACAGTCACTATATAAACGTTCACGTTCACAGTCACTATATAAACGTCCACGTTCACAGTCACTATATAAACGTTCACAGTCACTATATAAACGTTCACGTTCACAGTCACTATATAAACGTTCACAGTCACTATATAAACGTCCACGTTCACAGTCACTATATAAACGTTCACAGTCACTATATAAACGTCCACGTTCACAGTCACTATATAAACGTCCACGTTCACAGTCACTATATAAACGTCCACGTTCACAGTCACTATATAAACGTCCACGTTCACAGTCACTATATAAACGTCCACGTTCACAGTCACTATATAAACGTCCACGTTCACAGTCACTATATAAACGTCCACGTTCACAGTCACTATATAAACGGTCACGTTCACAGTCACTATATAAACGTCCACGTTCACAGTCACTATATAAACGTCCACGTTCACAGTCACTATATAAACGTTCACGTTCACAGTCACTATATAAACGTCCACGTTCACAGTCACTATATAAACGTCCACGTTCACAGTCACTATATAAACGTCCACGTTCACAGTCACTATATAAACGTCCACGTTCACAGTCACTATATAAACGTCCACGTTCACAGTCACTATATAAACGTCCACGTTCACAGTCACTATATAAACGTTCACGTTCACAGTCACTATATAAACGTCCACGTTCACAGTCACTATATAAACGTCCACGTTCACAGTCACTATATAAACGTCCACGTTCACAGTCACTATATAAACGTCCACGTTCACAGTCACTATATAAACGTTCACAGTCACTATATAAACGTCCACGTTCACAGTCACTATATAAACGTCCACGTTCACAGTCACTATATAAACGTCCACGTTCACAGTCACTATATAAACGTCCACGTTCACAGTCACTATATAAACGTTCACAGTCACTATATAAACGTTCACAGTCACTATATAAACGTCCACGTTCACAGTCACTATATAAACGTTCACGTTCACAATCACTATATAAACGTTCACGTTCACTATATAAACGTTCACGTTCACAGTCACTATATAAACGTTCACGTTCACAGTCACTATATAAACGTTCACGTTCACAATCACTATATAAACGTTCACAGTCACTATATAAACGTTCACGTTCACAGTCACTATATAAACGTTCACGTTCACAGTCACTATATAAACGTTCACAGTCACTATATAAACGTTCACGTTCACAGTCACTATATAAACGTCCACGTTCAGTCACTATATATAAACATCCACGTTCACAGCCACAATATAAACCTCCAAAGCCACCATAAAAACGTTCAAAAGTTGACCTTTTATCATACCATCAAGACACATTACTCCAGTTTTACATCCACTGCAAACATATTTGCACCTTTACATGCACTAATTAAACACGAGCTGTAGACAAGTCGACATCACCAGTGGAGAAAAACATCCACAAGTTTATAAACAAATCACAAACGCCTTGGAGCTTCCACTGTAGAGTGTCCGTGTTCCTGCTTGACACAGGGAGCGAGCGAGGGCCCGCCGGGGCCCGCGACTCCAAGATTATCGGTAGATGTTTCACCAACGACATCTTCCTGGGGAGTTTGGTTCTGTAGCGCGCAAAATAACCTTGGGAAGAAAGGGTTGGCTGGCTGTAAGAGTTGTGGTGTGGGGGGGGGTCCGGCTGGCTGGCTAGCTGGCTCGCTCGCTAGCCGGCTTCCTGTCCCAGAGGTGGGGGAGTTGGTTAGCTGGCTGGTTAGCTGGCCTGCCTGCCTGCCTGCCTGCCTGCCTGTCAGGCAGGCAGGCAGGCAGGCAGGCAGGCAGGCAGCCAGCCAGCCAGCCAGCCAGCCAGCCAGCCAGCCAGCCAGCCAGCCAGCCAGCCAGCCAGCCAGCCAGCCAGCCAGCCAGCCAACCAGCCAGCCAGAATGTGTCCCAGTTCTGAGATCTGCCTGTAAGGAGAGCTGTGGAGAGCCCTGACCAAAACACCCGGACGATGATAGTGGAATGTTTACGTGTAGACCTTCCAAATACGGCCAGGGGGCAGGGAGGTACTAGCGTGATGGTGGTAGATAATACTGGTAGGTGGTGGTGGTGGTAGATGGTACTGGCTGGTAATAGTGGTGGAGGCTACACACACTTTTTTTGTGTGTGTAGTTGCTATTATTTTCCGACTTTCGCCCACCAGTCCTCCCGGCTGGTCGCATGTTCACTCTGCGCTAGTGTTCTTGTTGACAGTTCTCTCACCCGTGTCACACATGTGGCTTACGAGTTAAATTACCAGCAGTGGCAGAAGAGAGGATATAATGATGTTAGTCAACAACTCACTTGTTACAACTTGACAATTGAAGATACTGTGAGCGTCTCCATGAACGAATATTAACACAGTCAATATAACACATATTAACACAGTCAATATAACACATATTAACACAGTCAATATAACACATATTAACACAGACAACATAAGTGATGAGGAGACTGACCAACAAGGACGGTCTGGGGGGACGTAGACACCACAACATAGGAAGAACAAGGCAGACATGACGGTGATATATAACAAGTATAGGGTAGAAGCAGACCAAGAAGCACTGTTCACAGTAGTGAACAACAGAACGAGGGGACGTGCACGGCAACTAGAGGTAAGCGAGCCACACAAACTGTCAGCAAGAACATGTTCAGCACAAGAGCAGTACATAGATGGGTTAGAATAACAACAGAAAATATTGTAAGAGGAAAGATGGTATAAACGCCGCATTAAATAACAACATTCTGCAGAGGCGAGGCTTAAGAGCTGTAGTTCTTGAGTGTACAGGAACTTGCAGGAAAGTGTGGCTTAAGGGAAGGGCTTCACAGACATTTATCTTACCCCAGTACCAAATGTAGCACCACGCAACCCTACAGAGGGAGAGAGAGAGAGAGAGAGAGAGAGAGAGAGAGAGAGAGAGAGAGAGAGAGAGATAAGAGAAGAAAGATAAAAGAGAAAGCTAAGCTAGAATAAGATGGCAACAAAGTCGTTGACCACAACGACTCTTGGCACAGCTTCACCCTAACTTAGTACAGCTACTCCACACTGTCCCAGCAGCCCTAAACCCACCCAACCCTCGGCACCCTAAACCCACCCAAACCTAGGCACCCTAAATTCACCCAACCCCTGTTACATCACAGTACGGTATATATGATCACTATACAGGTGTTCTTCATGAATACACATGCGTTAACTGATTAGAATTACCGGAACGAGTCTTGACAATTCAGCCTCACATTCTGGGGTAAGACCAAATTGTCAGCAGTTTAGAGCAGCTCAACATTCCTCGACAATTTTCAGGTGGAAGAGGATGTTTGTCTTACTGTATAGTTGCCAGCGGAGGTTTGAGGAGACAATGGAAGGAGCACGTGAATATTACAACTACATTATAGGAGATATATATTCTGGTATAGTACAGTAAGAGACCGTTGGAAGAGACCAACAGAAGACGCCTCGAAGTTGTGAAATGGAAAACATTGGCTTCTTAGTCTTTGAAATTGAAATTGAAATAAGTTTATTGAGGTAAAATACACACAAAGGGATGAGGTAGCTCAAGCTATTCTCATCCCGTTCAGTACATCGTGTTAATACATACATAGACACACATCACAAACAATAAACATATTACCGAATGTTTATTCATTCGGTAATATGAATAAACGTGGGCCTCCCGGCTGCTAGTAAGACAAAGAGCCTTACAGACCAGGCAGTCACCAGGGAAGCCTAGCCACAGGCCAGGCTGCGGGGAGTACCAGAGCTCACAAAATCGTCAACATGTGTTTAGCATTATCTGGGAGCCTGGGCACTAGAGTCTGCTGGTGCGATAATAACCTCGTAGCCAAGCCTTTTTTCGTCCACATGCATGCGAATTCTGACGTCCCCACATATATGTACAGAGGCTGTGTTTAGCCACATATCCCCCATCTGTATAGCTATGACTGCTGTGTTTTACCCAATCAAACTGACCCAGCCCGTGACAATGGCATGGAGGAATATCGAAGGTTTGGTGTATGTTATAAATGCCAAATATTAGTGAGTATTACGTGTGTGACTCCGTAGCCCAGGTATGTGATGCTTATAAAGGTATCCTCAACTCTGACATTTAATTTGATAAGAAACTTCCTGTAGTGAGAGGAAGCGCCAGACTTCTCTGTGTGCACTCCTCACCACCTTCACTCTTATATGACTTAAACTCCCATGCTGCTGCCTGACAAACTCCCACGTTGGTGTCTTACCACAGAGAGAGGGTAGTTTTAGCGTTGTAATTGTGTTATGTTGTTTGAGGTTGTAGCAGTTATCTCAGAAGCAGGTTAAGGCAGGACCCAGGCACGTTGGTGGTGGGTGAGTAAAAGGCTGAGTGATACTCATGTGTACTCACCTAGTTGTCCTTGCGGGGGTTGAGCTCTGGCTCTCTGATCCCGCCACTCAACTGTCAATCAACTGGTGTACAGGTTCCTGAGCCTACTGGGCTCTATAATATCTACATTTGAAACTGTGTATGCAGTCAGCCTCCACCACATCACTGTAACTACTGTGACACTGACACTGTGTTTACTGGTGGGTGGACCAGACTCACCCAAGCACACGTCGCGGGGGATGCGCGGGCTGCGTGGTGGGGGAGGGTCACCGCGCAGGACCCGTCGGCGACAGTTCCAGCAGCGACCTCAAGAGGTGGTGGTCGTCCGCGAGGCTGCCACCAACACCGCCGGTGTCGACCCCGAGTTGGCCAGACTTCAGGTGAGTCAGTTCTCTCTCTCTCTCTCTCTCTCTCTCTCTCTCTCTCTCTCTCTCTCTCTCTCTCTCTCTCTCTCTCTCTCTCTCTCTCTCTCTCTCTCTCTCTGCGTCCTTGTCCCCATTCCTAACTCCCCTACTTCCTCCATCCCGCCCACTCCTACTACTAAGTTCCTGCACTATAACTCACCTTCTACAATCCCATATAAATCTCTTACATTTTCCTATACGTAGATCTGTCCAGATGCAAGCTAAACTGTTGAATTTGTACTATAAACATTGTTTTACATTTATTTCATATTGTACTATGAAAAATATTGTTACCACAAGCAGTGGACCCGCGAACAACTGGTTGTGATGGTATATTGATTCACACTCCTTGGTTCTCACCATCACTGTGAACTGTGAGGTTATTGTGTCAGGTGAAGGTGAGAGCTTTATATTGTGAGGACACATGCGCCTTCCACAGTTAGAGCCCCACTCCTGTGCCAGGTAAGTCCACTACGGGCTCACCATAGACCGTGCTACTTGCAACTTTTTGTTCCCAATAGCTGAATCTCAAACACCACCAACAATACGCCTTCCAGTGTGTATCTTCCAGACCCAGACACACACACACCTTCCATATAAACCTTGTCGCGTGGCGATTGCTTCCAGGCGCTGTCCTACGCCTCATGGCGGCTTTGTATACACAATCCCTCCTTATGTTGAATTCCCATATATTATCATAGTCTTTCTTGCTTCATGCTTGTCTTGTGGTGTTGGTAATCAGCGAATAACGAGCCTGGTTGTATCTGGTGGCAGTCCATCCCGACGTTCCTGCCCATCATGCGGGGGGCGCTGACGGCACCGTCGGCACGTGATCCAGAGGTCCTGGAGCGACTCAACGCGGGCGCCATGGTGGAGCTGTGTCGCCGCTACCAGATCCACCTGCACGCAGCGGCCGCCGCCACCAGCCACCACCAGGATAACCTCTCCGCCAAGATCAGGGAGGTCAGTATACCCCCACACCTGTTATCATACGCTCTTCACGTGACAGTTGTTCACACTATGCCACATAAAGGAGTCTGCGCGCAGAGACCAGAAACCTAAGTTTGCCGGTACACTTTTCAATTTCACTTTGTGGTAGCCTGCTGAATGCCTCTTGTGTTCCACAGATGGACGCCGGCGTGAGCGGCCTGGTGTCGCAGGTGACGGAGCGACAGAAGAACTTCGCCAGGTACGCGGAGAAGCTGAGTCAGGTGACGGAGGTCAGTCACGCCCTCGCCCGCTGCCACGCCTCCCTCAACCACATCCTCGAGAGCCTGGAGACCCTCAATGACTCCCTGCCCATCCAGGAGAGGCTGGAGCCCTTCGTCTGGACCACCGGCTGATCTGCCGGCCGCTGGGTGACCGCTGGGGTGGGGAGGAATGCAATAAACACGAGAGTATAGTGAGAAGGCTCACCTTACAACCTTACTTCCCCGCCCACTGACTGCGCGGGGAAGAAATAGGAGTCGAGGAAGACAATGGGAAAGATAGTGTACATGAAATAAATCAAGGGAAATATAGCTGATGAATGTAGTAATTGAAGGGTGAGAGAAGATGGCGGTAATATAGGTGGAAGAGGAACCCACGCGACAGGTCACAAAGAATTATGAAAAACACAAATTGTATATAAATCAGTATGGTGGGCGTCTAGGTAGATCAGCAAAGTAGATGTGTACACGAAGGTAGATCAACAGCGTGGGCGTGAGAATAGTTTAGACAGTAAAGGAAATGTGAAATATTTTGCACCCAAATAATATGAAAGTAAAAATAATAAAACTTGAAAAATATAATTTGAGTGCAAGGCCATGAAAGAGGACCTAATCTCGGAGAAACTTAATGAGAATACAAAAAAAAATCTATACATGACATGAATTCAAATATACTCGTTGTATTCACAGATTGGGAATGGTACTTACCCATAGTCAACATTCAGAAACCTGTTAAATGTGATTAAGGAATGGGATTGGTGTCAGGTGTGTGTGGAATACGGTTGTGTTTTAAACCTATTTAATGCTAGGCTTAGGTTCTTTTTGGGGAATATGTTACTTAAACCCTATTAAGTGGAATGGCTGTAACCTAAGTGATAACGAAACCTATATCAAATGGGTGCACACAATTTTAGCACGGTCAAAGTCTTTGTAAAAATATGTGTATGTTAGGTGACCCCTCACTTTAAATTTGAATGTTGATGTTGAGACGATTCAGGCATGATGGTAGGGGGGGGGATGAAAGGTGTTTCGTACACAACATTGTGTGTGTGTGTCTGCCGTGTCAACTTTGTGTTAATCTTTCGTGTTCTTGTTATTGTATTGTTAAAATTCAACTTAGTCATCCATGGGAAATGAGTTAATGCTCTCCAGGTTGAAGCGAATGGTGTTGATTACATTGTATATTATTTATTTAAATATTAATGGTCAAAATACACAGAGTTTCACTCAGCCTTATTGTGTGTGTGTCTGTGTACGAACACGCGCGTGCGTGCCTGCGAGATAATGCGCTGCATGCGTTAGAAAGAAGAGCCTAATATAAAGCAATGATTCATGCCTAAATCTTTGACTTGACTCATTCCGTCATGCGGAACAACATGTCTACAAGAACGACTGCCCCAACCCCTGAGGATGTAGTGTGCATATTGATCGTCTTGCACAATCATTGGTGCGATGGTGACGGTACTGTGTACTTTTGAGGTGATCCTGAACGTCATGGGTTCGAATCCTGGTCGGGTCATGTAGTGATTTATGGTTTGCGTTTTCCTGAAGCCTTTATATATAATGAATTATAATGATATATATAATATATATATATATATATATATATATATATATATATATATATATATATATATATATATATATATATATATATATATATATATATATATAATATATATATATATATATATATATATATATATATAATATGTATATATATATATAATATATATATATATATATATAAACTGAAAACTCACACCCCAGAAGTGACTCAAATCCATACTGCCAGGAGCAACGCAACTGGTATTTACAGGACGCCTTAATCCGCTTGACCATCACAACCGGACATAAGAACGTGATAGCCGAAGCTATTTGAACCACTTCCCCGCCGGCACTCGGATGGTAATCTTGGGCATAGCATTTTATCAAATCACCTCATTCTTTGGGGCACACGTGAGGAACACAAATGCGAACAAGCCTGAATGGTCCCCAGGACAATATGCAACTGAAAACTCACACCCCAGAAGTGACTCGAACCCATACTGCCAGGAGCAACGCAACTGGTATGTATAGGGACGCCTTAATCCGCTTGACCATCACGACCGGACATAAGGATTAAGTCATCCCTGACATCAAGCGGATTAAGGCGTCCCTGTACATACCAGTTGCGTTGCTCCCGGCAGTATGGGTTCGAGTCGCTTCTGGGGTGTGAGTTTTCAGTTGCATATTGTCCTGGGGACCATTCAGGCTTGTTCGCATATATATATATATATATATATATATATATATATATATATATATATATATATATATATATATATATATATATATATATAAACAAGTCCTGTATACGGTTGTATAATATACAACCAATACGGTTGTGGTGCATACGGGCATACCTTCAAGCTACTGCATATATCCGTTCAGCCTCTTGTCCTTCTAATAGTGTAACATGGGACCGTATAAAGGTCTTCCTGAGATGCCTCGTAACTGGACCTCAAATTACACTCTTCCTTCATGTCCACTTCTATTTTGATGAGCATTCAGGCGCGCGAATCCCTCTGTCGTGAGGTATCGTCTCACACGCGGCCTCCACTCTCCATGTTCTAGCATTTTAATGTGTACAATACAATAAAGATTTACGTCAAGAGCACAAAGATGGCGAGACAACATAGAGGAGGCCTGGCGACAGACGGAGCCAGGGGGCCAGATGTTGGCCGCGAGGCCTTGACGAGGCGACGACAGAAGCCAGCTTGCACGACCGGCGCGCCCCCTGCCCGCCTCGTGGACACCTCACCTGCACGCCACGGCAAAAACTCTTCACAATCTCCTCCAACGAAACCACATTAATGGAATTATTGCAAAATGGATGTTTCCCAAGTCCTTGGAGGTCATGACGATAAATCTAGCAGGGTATTCCTGCTAGATTTAGTTCAACCAAGGCGAGTTGTTTCTGGTCATGCAACTGGGATGGAGTTTCGAGGTGCCTGCTGAAGCGCCTATGGAGGGAGGCCTCAGTATGGCTTTAATTAATATACCTTTGTTGGAAAAGTTACTATTCAGTCTAAACACATAATTAATATAGCCTTCCCGGCTTGGCGCCTTCTTTTGATAATTACTTGCGTTATGAATAGTTCACTGCTAGATTGCTGGAGAAGCTTACTAGTGATCAGATCTGTAAAGTTTATTTAAATATTAACTATAGACTATGGGTTATCAATTACGGCGTGTATGTGTGTACTCGCCTATTTGTGCTTGCGGGGGTTGAACTTTGTCTCTTTGGTCCCGCCTCTCAACTGTTAATCAACTGGTGTACATTTTCCCGAGCCTACCGAGCTCTATAAGCCTAATGCTGTACCGACTGAGCTTAGTGTGTGTGTGTGTGTGTGTAAGGCGCGGTATTTCGTCCTGAGGGAGAGTGTTGGTGGACATCGGAGCTGACTCACGCTGCCTCAAGGGGCCCACTTCGCTACTTCTCCCTCTCGCCACCTTGGGTCGACGCCAGTAATTTTATCCCGGGGAAAATACACAATGAGCCAAAGTTGCAAGGTGTAGTTGTGACAAGGGTACAGGGCTGGAGATGATCATAATGAAACGTAAGGCAGGTGGTCAATGTAGAAGAATGTCAAATCCACGAGAGTGGAGAGACTCGGGGTGAAGCTGGCCACCAGTGTACACAAGTCCAGTTTTATTGCAACCATTTTTCGATTTATTTCTCTGCGACTCTTCACTTTTTATCCGCGATGACTGAACAAATATATTTGTTCTTTGTAGTTTCCAGTTTTTTAGGGTAACCAATTTTTCTGAGTAGAGCACGTAGTGTGTATAGTGTGTGTGTATATATAGTGTGTGGAGAGAGAAAGTCCTCATCCAAGAGAGGCCTCTAAAACAAGAGAAAGTGGTATATGTGAGGAGAATGTTGGCGCGGGTGTAGCGTGGCGTCAGCAGGGGCCGCTGCCAGTAATACCCTCAACGCGTGTTTCCCCTCATTCTTGTCATTCTTATCTTGTCACACTCGCTGCCCACTTGCCTTACTGCCTCGCATTCTTCCTAACCGCTCCCTCTACACTCACGCTCTCAATTACATTTATATATAATACTAGAAGGGTACCCAGCTGTGTCCTGGCCTGTCTCTTCCTCCTCTATTTCCTTCTTTCCCCTCACCCCCTGTTCCTACTCCCTCTCTTCCCCCCTCTTCCTCCTCCCCTTCGTTCCCCTCTAGCGCTCTCTCTCTCCGTCAAAATGACAAATAACATTAAGAACAATTCACACAGTCGGTTCATCACTACATAGTCTATAAAGTCTTTGGGTAAAACATATAATTTTAAGGGGGACTTAAAAGGTAAATATTATAATTCGATTTTTTTTTAATTTTGGAATGACCAGTGCAGTCTCCAATATTGCCAAAAAATAATAATCCAGAATCGAACCATTTGGTATTGTAAGATGTTCATGGAGAGTGACGTTAGCAGTGTCACTTATCGATTTTTTTCTTGCTTCGAATCCTTACCCACCCATGATGGGCACGTACCCAACAGCAATTATTCGGAAAAATTGGGTGAAGCTAGCCCCAAATGTTTGGCTTCTAACCTCAAACAGGCAAGACATTTCAATGTATAGATATAGATATATCGAAGATGATACAGGTATGTGGTAAGGTGTGGATGATTGAAACTATAGCTAGGGTTCTTGAGCACACTACTACACCACCGACACCATATGTACGAGAAGTGGTTCCTTCAGCCACTTCAAGTAGCCATGAAGGAGTACAAAGATTCAAGCAGTTTAAGAAATTGGCGGGAGGATGTATGTATGAAAAGAAAGATGTATTTCTTTGTATGAAAGAAAGCCTAGTAAGGAGAAAGAAAGCCTAGTAAGGAAGGAAGCTTTGTAAGGAAGCCTCGTAAACAATGAAGCCGTGTAATGATGGCAGCCATGTAAGAAAGGGAATCTTGTAATGAAGGAAGCTTCATAAGGAAAGAAGCCTAGCAATGAAGGACATCTTGTAAAGGAGGAACCATTGTAAAGGAAGAAAGTAGTGAGAGTTCAGAGGCTGGATACACAGTAATAACAGGAAATGCAACATGGACAATGAGAGTAACGGAGGAAGGAGTTTGAGGACAGAGTCAGGCCAACAATGCAAGTCATCAGCTGCAGCTATTGAAATAGCTCTCGTGTTCTGCTTCCTCCCCGAGACATATATACACAAGAGAGGTATATATACCCCGCTTCTCGGTGTATATACACCAAGACTTTACTTTGGGGAGCCGGTCGGCCGAGCGGACAGCACGCTGGACTTGTGATCCTGTGGTCCTGGGTTCGATCCCAGGCGCCGGCGAGAAACAATGGGCAGAGTTTCTTTCACCCTATGCCCCTGTTACCTAGCAGTAAAATAGGTACCTGGGTGTTAGTCAGCTGTCACGGGCTGCTTCCTGGGGGTGGAGGCCTGGTCGAGGACCGGGCCGCGGGGACACTAAAGCCCCGAAATCATCTCAAGATAACCTCAAGAAGATAGTCATGGACGATGTTCAGGACTAAGATATACTTGCTGGTTGGTCAGCAAGCTATTGTGGTGGCCCTCCAGAGGTTGATAGACCTCAATCAGCTTCCATCCCGGGTCTCAACCACAAAAAATTCCTTCACTCTGAATTAAAAGCAAAATACATTTTCGGTTTCTGAATCCAACATCACTAATTCTTGACTGCTTTAGCGCACCAGAAATTAATTTCTTGCTCTTTCTTTTTTACATAGTAAAATTATGTCACTCAGTGTGAATTTGTCTTGGGTATTATTGCTGTGTTTTTGTCAACACGCGAGTCAGTCCATGGCAGGCGTCTGTTGCCACAGTGAACCACGTGTTGTATGTCAGCCTGTTGCCACAGTGAACCACGTGTTGTATGTCAGCCTGCTGCTACAGTGAACCACGTGTTGTATGTCAGCCTGTTGCCACAGTGAACCACGTGTTGTATGTCAGCCTGCTGCCACAGTGAACCACGTGTTGTATGTCAGCCTGTTGCCACAGTGAACCACGTGTTGTATGTCAGCCTGCTGCCACAGTGAACCACGTGTTGTATGTCAGCCTGTTGCCACAGTGAACCACGTGTTGTATGTCAGCCTGTTGCCACAGTGAACCACGTGTTGTATGTCAGCCTGTTGCCACAGTGAACCACGTGTTGTATGTCAGCCTGTTGCCACAGTGAACCACGTGTTGTATGTCAGCCTGCTGCCACAGTGAACCACGTGTTGTATGTCAGCCTGCTGCCACAGTGAACCACGTGTTGTATGTCAGCCTGCTGCTACAGTGAACCACGTGTCGTATACTACACATACACTGCCGGCTGGGCTATCACTGGTGGCGCTGCTGGGGGTGTGGGCGAGGGAGCCGAGGACACCATCTGCTGTCGTCCACTTCAATACGTGGTTACTCTCTCCACATTAGGTCACATTGTACTCCAATGTCTCTACTAATAAAAGCATTGTTAAGAATGGTGCTCGAGTTGTTCATTATCTAAGAGTTCAGATCACGCTGGGTAATTTAGATCTATAATCATATTTAACATGAACAAACAAAATGTCTCAAAATGAATATGAATGGCACGGTGTTGTTTGGGTGCGTTGTTTATGAATGTGAGAGAAAATACTGGTGGGTGAGACCAGGTGACAGGAGACCCATTATGAGTTCCTCGTGTGAATGGGTAAACACCCTTTTTTGTGGCTTGGTGCCTGCGACTTCTGTTTGACACAACATTGAGAGCATTCTGTAGGGGGGTGGAGATGATGGCATGCAAGAAGCGGGGTTACGGAGATAGTTTATGACAAAAATAATGGTTGTAAGGAAGGGATGGTAGAGCTGTGGGAGGCGGCGCGGGTTTGCGTGGCGATCGTGTAAGGTGAGCTGTGCGGGTGTACTGGCTCTCCAAGCGGAGAGGTCCTGTGCCCAGGTATTTTTACTTGTTCCACGAGTACTGTATCCCTGACAGGCACCGCCCTACCAGCCAAATATAGGTTGTGCGCACAGACCACTTGCGCAGCCTTTTCTGCGCAGAGGATATAAAGAAGGAGCAACCAGAAAACCCTGCCAGTGCATCACAGCTAGGGTCGCAATCATGCCTGCCTCAAAGGGTTCCCGTTCTTCTTCCAAGAAGGCGAAGAAGGGAGGAAGCAATGTCTTCGATATGTTCACCCAGAAGCAGGTGGCGGAGTTCAAGGAGGGCTTCCAGGTGATGGACCGTGATCGTGATGGCATCATCAGCAAGGACGACCTCCGTGGTGTCTACGACGAAATCGGCCGTATTGTCACCGACAAGGACCTGGACGACATGATTGCTGACGCACCTGGCCCAATTAACTTCACCACCCTCCTGCACATGTTCGCCTCACGCTCCTCTGGAGAGTCCGACGACGACGATGTTGTTGCCAAGTCTTTCCGTGCCTTCGAGAAGGAAGCCGGTCAGATCGACTCCGAGCAGTTCCGTGCAATGCTTATGGCTTTCGGTGACAAGTTCACGCCCGCGGAAGTCGACGATGCCTTTGAGCAGATGGAAATCGACGAGGACACCGGCATCATCGACTCCAACGCCCTCATCGCCATGTTGTGCGCCGGTGGAGCAGAAAAGGGTGAGGGTGAGGCTTAAATACCCAAATTCCCGTCCCATCGTCCGTGCCCGAAGGAAATGTGGGTGAGCAGTAGCGGAAGCCATCTGCAGGGGTTGCTACCTGTAGCTGTGACACTCAGGCGCTTCTTGGCTATCTTCTGGCCCCTGCTGCTGCTACTTCCTCTCTCATCAATGCTCGCCACTTCTTCCATACGTCACCACCACCCATATTTCTTACGGGCGAAGTCACAAGCAGGATAGACAATTGAGGCTGGACCCTTCGCCCTCTCCCTCTTCTGTAATCCTGCCGTCATTATCTCCATCTACGATAGACCCTACAAGCGGCGGCTTTCACCAGACCTCAAGATCGGCGTCCGCGAACTCGCAGTGTCTTTGTGAAAAGAAAAAAGCCAAGCCGGGAGCGGAGTGACAGTGACAGTGCATATGAATGTAAACATTGCCGCCGTGATCCACAACCAGAGGGCCTACCGCTCCCTTGCTAAAAAAAAAGTGTTACATCCGAACAGAACTAAAACGAGACATCTGTGACTAAAGTAAAGTACGAGGTCGTAGTGTGAGGGAGCTCAGTGTCATCTGCCTCATCTTTAAACCAGTGTAGTGACGACTTTTACGAGCTGGAGAAGCCACCGTGGTGACCGCTACGCAGTTGTCGTCACTGATGCTGGACCAGAGTCGGGTGCCGGTGTACTGCAGCTCTAGCACTTGTAAATGTTTCACTTGTGAAGCATTGTATTAACATCGGCAAGATATATTCAATAAAATGTTTTACAATCGCCATTGTATATTTTAAAACACCATTTCTGCGCCAACACGTGGCAGCTAAAAATAGACACAGTGTTTGGAAGTGAAGCAAACAGTCAAATTTATATAGAAAGTGGTCTCACCTAAACTCAGATTGTTTTTAACTATTTACTTATTTGGCAAGCCTTATAACTTTGGACATTTCCATAACTTTGGACATTTCATTAAAAACTGTAAAAAAAAAGTGTAAACCTATATAATATAACTTTTTTAATAATCTTCATAAGCTTTTGTTTGCCCATCTAATTACATTTTTTTCAATATAGTCCAACAAACACAAGAGAACTTTCAAGCAATTGTAAATACAAGTTTGTCTATATGAATACAGTCATATTTACAAAACAGCAGATGAAACGCAGGTGAGAGCATGCCACCTGCGTGTCTATGCAGAAGTAATGCGCCTGTGTACAGCTGTGAGAGAGTTGGTATAACAAGCATGGCGCGTTAGTACTGTGTAGTAGCCTCACACCGCTGCTACACCTTAAATAGTTTACTATTAACTTCCATCAACGAAGCCTAGTCACACACTCCAGTCATTAATTCCTACCTACCCCTCGCTGCTCTCATGAGTGGCTTGTCTACACACACTAATGTGTGTTTCTTTTCATTGTCTAGTAAATCCACCCACCTCAACACTACTTGAAGTCTATATATCCCCTAGCCCCGCGCAACACTAATTCTACCATACAAAGCTTAGCTCTGCAACACTAATTCTCCAATACATAGCTCTTATAATAGTAATTCTACCATACACATCCTAGCTCTACAACGTCAATGTATATGGTATATATAATCTGTTATTACATGGGTGTATCGAAAGCAAGCAATCAGTCTCTCTCATTCTCTCTCTCTTATTCTCTCTCTCTCTCTCTCTCTCTCTCTCTCTCTCTCTCTCTCTCTCTCTCTCTCTCTCTCTCTCTCTCTCTCTCTCATTCTCTCACTGTCTCTCTCTCTCTCATTCTCTCACTGTCTCTCTCTCTCTCATTCTCTCTCTCTCTCTCTCTCTCTCTCTCTCTCTCTCTCTCTCTCTCTCTCTCTCTCTCTCTCTCTCTCTCTCTCTCTCTCTCTCTCTCTCTCTCTCTCTCTCTCTCTCTCTCTCTCTCTCTCTCTCTCTCTCTCTCTCTCTCTCTCTCTCTCTCTCTCTCTCTCTCTCTCTCTCTCTCTCTCTCTCTCTCTCTCTCTAAAAAAAATAACATGAAGAATTAAATGCAAATAACTAAAGTTACCTGAACTACCCACCAGGAACGCTCCAGGGAAGTATTAGGGCCCTCGGAATTTTCTGGTGTGAAACATGAGACAAATTTTCTTACAGAAATTAGAAATCTTCCACTTAGAAAGTGGAAGGAAAGTATCAACAGAAAGCGACAAACCATTACGACTATATAGCATCTGGATAAGAATTTGGAATGGGACGAGGGGAAAGGAATGGTGCCAAACCACTTGGACGGTCGGGGATTGAACGCCGACCTGCATGAAGGGAGACCGTTGCTCTACCGTCCAGCCCAAGTGGTTGGGCAAGGAGAAACTTAGTAAAAATATTACAGTATCTACGAATATGATGTCAAATAGAAAATGAAGAGAAAATTAAATCAAATAGAAAACTCTCAGAAGGCTTTAATAATCAACCGTATTTTTTTCTAAACTATGGTATAAGTCTCATAATTCTCCAGTGGATACGAAAATTGCTTTGAAAATGGAAAAACACTATTCTTTGATATTAATTACCGATTAAACGGACTTTAATCTGTAACCTCTTTAAACGTAAAGAAAAAAGGTGGGATATGAATGTTCACCATAAATGATTAGCTATGTTGACCAATCCATACACTAGAAAATGAAGGGACAACGACATTTCGGTCCGTCCTGGACCATTCTCAAGTCGTCTCTTAATTTCTAGTGTGTGGTCTGGTCAACATACTTCAATCACGTTATTGTGACTCATCGCCTACACATGATTAGCTATCTTACGAATATCCAACTAAAGTTAATTTGGGACTAGATAACACATAGGATTAGCTATCCTATGTGTTATCTTTAGAAATTGAATTATTCAAAGCAATATTGTTAATTTACTGGAATCTTATTTTTGTAAAATACGCGCAAGTTATTTGACACAGGAGCCTGAGTTCAACGACTTTATTTCACCATACTTTTATTCCTGTGCAATTAATGTTGTCGGCCAGATTTGTAACTTAGCAGCATTTTAATGATGATGTTTTGTATACAAGAATTTCGATTATTGACATCATAATTCCTTTGCTTAATGCATATGCTCCTCTGGAAGCCTATTCGTTAAGTAGGGTTAGCCTGAAATGTTTGGATGCCAAGAGCATTATCCCCAACTATGCTCACCACAATTATGGTTTAAGACTATACACAATATATACCCATAACAGACCTCTTACAGTAAGATTAGCTCTTACAGTACCTATCCGGTTAGCTTTTCTGATCATTGTATTGTTGTAGTGAAAATTGAGGTTAACAGTCAAGTTCAAATGGGAAAAAAAAGAGTTGTGGGAGTTAAACTTGCAGTTTTTTTGCAAGATATTATTGGTATTTTTCGAGTATTGTGGGAGTACTTGTTGAGACAAACGAGTTACATACTAGAGTTGTTACATTCTTGTGCAGCCACTAGTACGCGTAGCGTTTCGGGCAGGTCCCTGGAATACGATCCCCGCCGCGAAGAATCGTTTTTACAACCAAGTACACATTTTACTGTTGAGTTAAACAGAGGCTACAGTTAAGGATTTGCGCCCAGTAAATCCTCCCCGGCCAGGATACGAACCCATGACAAAGTGCTCGAGGAACGCCAGGCGAGTGTCTTACCACTTCACCACGGAGACTGGTGCAGTGGTTCACCTGCACCAGTTTCCGTGGTACAGTGGTGAAACACACAGGTTCACCTGTCCTGGGGTGCGGTGCGACGTGGGGGAGAGTTGAATATAAACATTATTTACCATATTGTCCGAAAGACAGGCAGCTACGAGATAGGGACTTTTGATCTTGCTACAAAACATTAAAACAACTCAATACTAAAGTTAATATGGGACTAGATAAATATGAAGAAATTAGTTCCTTAAACGAAAGACTTAACACAATGAGGAAGAATATATTTGAAGGCGTAAATGTCCGCCTCGAGATTAGTGAGAGGATGTATGAGGAAACATTTCTACATATTTTTTAAGTAAGGTAAAGAATAATAAGAGTACGGGGCTTGTAACCAATATAAGAACAGATGATGGGACGGATTTAACAAATAATACGGATCGAATCATATATTACGTTCGAAGTGAATTAGAGAAGTTGTATAAGATGGACGGAGACAAAGGCATGTTTCAGGAAACATCTTTTAGACATTCGAATTCGATGTCCAAAGAGCTTGGAGAAGGATGTGGGAAGGAAGTAAGATAAAGATTTGAAATTCTGGAAGAGGATTGTGTGTGGGACCGAGGAGGATGGAAAGTTCGGCGGCCTGTATTATGCAAATCGGGCCTTGCATAGTAGGCCAAAAAGTGCGTTCTGGCTACTAGGTACGACATATATATATATATATATATATATATATATATATATATATATATATATATATATATATATATATATATATATATATATATGCCGCCGAAGGCGGCTAGTTTATTGTGCACCCCATACTCATCCTGTGAGCGGTAGTGCAAAAAGCATTACAGAGGGCACAAAAGGTTTTTATCAGAACTCATCTTAGATTATTACATAAACAATTTCATCTATCCTTTACACCTTATAGTTACATTGTCAGCTAGTTGTCGGCTATGCTAGTTGTTGTACATTGTCGGCTCCGACCCGGAGCCGGTCGGCCGAGCGGACAGCACACTGGACTTGTGATCCTGTGGTCCTGGGTTCGATCCCAGGCGCCGGCGAGAAACAATGGGCAGAGTTTCTTTCACCCTATGCCCCTGTTACCTAGCAGTGAAATAGGTACCTGGGTGTTAGTCAGCTGTCACGGGCTGCTTCCTGGGGGGTGGAGGCCTGGTCGAGGACCGGGCCGCGGGGACACTAAAAAGCCTCGAAATCATCTCAAGATAACCTCAAGATAAGACCTACAGTATACCGTCAGCTACTGTGTAGGTCAGAGACGGGTCCTGGGGGGGGGGGTGTCTGGTCAACCAGGTAACTGTTATACGCGGCTGCTCGCTGCCTGACGTATGAATCACAGCCTGGTTAATCATCATGTTGGTTATGCAGATAATATCACTTCATGTTTGGTAACACTATAATGTCTTCCTGCACGAAAAGTATACGTAATTTATAATATTTAACCAAAGAGAGTAGTTGCATCTTGTTTTTTTCGACAATATGAGCCCATTGATGTTGAAGGGCAGCTACTGCAATTGACCAACTTGCTGTAAACCTGCTAAGTGAACAGAGGCATCAGATGAAGTGAAACGTGTCTAATCGGTTTTATCCTGCCCGGGAATTGAGTCCAGGACGTAGACTACTGTGCTGCAGAAATTGTACATTCAGTTTTGTTATAACCGAGACTGGAGGCGGCGACCTCCAGAAACACGTCATCATACGTCATTATACGTCATCACACAGGCTGACTCACCGCCAGATATGTTAATTAGGTAGCCTTTATATATGGAGTTCAGAGCTGAAATGTACTATTTTCATGGTCTCATTCGGGAATTTGCCCTATGAAATTACTATTTTAATTCCTAAATCAGCGACAGAAGATGTTCTACCAAATTATAGATACACTGATAATTTATAAACATCGGTTCAGTGAACCGTTGACCAGCGTGGTGCAAGGGTTCAAGGACGGGCGTTAATACTACTAAACAAACCTATAAGAAATGATCTAACTGCGTGCATTTATACTTTTGTTTTTATCGGTTATTTTTTCTCCCGGTATGATAAAGATGCGCTTTTCAATTTTGCTTAAACAATTAACAGTTATCTGAAAGGCCTCGTAGCCCACGAGTTCCGGTGT